GAGGTGGTGGAGTCACCATCCCTGGAGGTGTTTAAAAAAATATGTAGACATGGCACTTTGTGACACGGTTTAGTGGGCATGGTGGTGTTAGGTTGATGGTTCGACTGATGATCTTAGAGGTTCTTTCCAACCTTAATGATTCCTAGATTTTCTTTAATTAAAAACTAATCCAGCCACCAAGCCAGGAAACATGAAATTAATTATTACTCTACCCTTAATTGGTTTAGTGGTGGACTTGGTAGTGTTAGGTTAATGGTTGGACTGGATAATCTTAAAGGTCTTTTCCTACCTAAACAATTCTATGATTCTATGGCTAAAAGTTAACCTCTGAACAGGACACATGGTGAGATGCAGGTTCAGCATGCAGGAGGATGTGGCCAGTACTGGCATTCTCACCAACTCGTGATTCAGTTCTGAATCAAATTGCTGGGACTTCTAGATTTGGAACTTCAAATTCTGGAACTTCCTGGAGTGGACGAAGGGAAATGTTATGCCCATTTTTAAAAAGGGAAGAAAGGAGGACCCTGGGAACTACTGACCTGTCAGCCTCACCTCTGTGCCTGGGAAGATCATGGAACAGATCTTCCTAGAAGCTATGCTCAAGCACATGGAGGACAGCGAGGTGATTTGAGACAGCCAGCAGAGATTCACCAGGGGCAAGTCCTGCCTGACCAACCTAGTGGCTTTCTATGAAGGAGTGACTGCAGCAGTGGACAAGGGAAAAGCAATGGATGTCATCTGTCTGGACTTCTGTAAAGCCTTTGACATGTTCCCCCACAACATCCTTCTCTCTAAATTGGGGAGATATGGATTTGATGGGTGGAATGTTCAGGAGATAAGGAATTCGTTGGATGGTCGCGTCCAGAGGGTAGCAGTCAACGGCTCGATGTCCAAATGGAGACCGGTGACAAGTGGTGTCCCTCAGGGGTCTGTACTGGGACCAGTGCTGTTTAATATCTTCATCAATGACATAGGCAGTGGGATTGAGTGCACCCTCAGCAAGTTTGCAGATGACACCAAGCTGAGTAGTGCAGCTGACACGCCAGAAGGGCAAGATGTCATCCAAAGGGACCTGGACAAGCTGGAGAGGTGGGCCTGTGTGAACCTCATGAGGTTCAACAAGGCCAAGTGCAACGTCCTGCACCTGGGTCGGGGCAACCCCCAATATCAATACAGGCTGGGGGATGAAGGGATTGAGAGCAGCCCTGCAGAGAAGGACTTGGGGGTACTGGTGGATGAAAAGCTGGACATGAGGCAACAATGTGCGCTTGCAGCCCAGAAAGCCAACCATATCCTCGGCTGCATCAGAAGCGTGGCCAGCAGGTCGAGGGAGGTGATTCTGCCCCCTCTACTCTGCTCTGGTGAGACCTCACCTGGAGTACTGCATCCAGCTCTGGAGCCCTCAGCACAAGAAGGACATGGATGTGTTGGAGTGGGTCCAGAAGAGGGCCACAAAGATGGTCAGAGGGCTGGAGCACCTCTCCTGCGAGGACAGGCTGAGAGAGTTGGGGTTGTTCAGCCTGGAGAAGAGAAGGCTGCAGGGAGACCTTATTGTGGCCTTTCAGTACTTAAAGGGGGCCTATAGGAAAGTTGAAGACAATCTTTTTAGCAAGGCCTGTTGTGTCAGGACAAGGGGTAATAGTTTTAAACTGAAGGATGGTAGATTTCGACTGGCTATAAGGAAGAAATTTTTTACAATGAGGGTGGTGAAGCACTGGAACAGGATGCCCAGAGAGGTAGTGGAGGCCCCATCCCTGGAAACATTCAAGGTCAGGTTGGATGGGGCTCTGAGCAACCTGATCTAGTTAAAGATGTCCCTGCTTACTGCAGGGGGTTTGGGCTAGATGACCTCTAAAGGTCCCTTCCAACCCAAAGTATTCTATGGTTCAATGATTCTAAATTCCCTGCTGTGACTGTATATGCAATGCAAAACAGACTTTTATATGGGTTCTAGTGTCCAAGGACAATGAGACAAAGCAGCATCAACTAGTGAAGGAATTAGATGTGGAAAAATATAACGTAAAATCATAAAGTTCAGGACTTCTAAGTCAGGCCAAAAGTTACTATTCATAAGCTAACAGAGTAACTCATCGCTTTGGCCCCAAAATAATACACTAAGATGTCAACACATTAATTTCAGAAATATGACAAAGCCACACCAAACGTTTTGCAAATATATAAACATTGTGCTTATTACACGAAGTTCTCCATGCAAACTGGCTCGCCTGTTGCACCTCCTACACCAATTTTGAGAAACACTGGGATGTCTCTGTAGAGTTACTATTTACTGTGAGATGGTGAATGTTCTGTGTTGCTATCAGGCCACATTCCAGTAACTTTCCTCTAGAAAGACAAAGAAATTACTGGGGGGAGGGGAGAGAAGACTGAACAATGGAATTTTCCACTTAGCCCACTTGACATCAGCCTCACTGAGCATTTTTCTTCAAGGCAAATAAAGCCTATGCAAGAGAGATTCCCAGAACCCTCATAAACACCCTGCTACTAAAACCCTCCAAAGAAAACAGTAAAACAATGAACGCTTTTCAGTGCTTATCCATCTCTTCCATTCTACCAGACTTACACTTCCATGAGCTCATCAAATAAACATGAACTGACATGAATGTGAGTTATCATTTACAGGCTGAATATGCATAAGTCAGCTGAAGGCAAGGGAAGCTGATAGCGCTCAGCACCTTAGAGAAAAAATGTACAAGAAAATTATATGCAGTAACGCTATAAGACAGCCTGCATCAGGCCTGGTAATTATTGATAAAAATAACAAATAGTTACTAAACCAAAAAGCAGTATTTTCTGGGAAAAATACAATTTTTTAAAAAAATAAGTAATGTGACAAAATTACATATTAAGGGTTCCACATACCCATCTAAAGAGCCTGCTGTACTAGTCTTTGTCTAAATATGTTAGCAGGATCACCCACTACCACACTTGGTTTATAGGCTTTACAATACCAAAAGCACTACTGACTAAAGGTTTCCACTGAATCAGAGCTCTCTATTTCACAAAAACAATTCCAGCTCCAGCGTTTATCTTCCCTGTCGGTCTTGGCCTTGCCTTCGCATCTTTATTGCAACAGATTATTACCATCATGCCACTCAGCTATACATATTATATCCACTGCTGCACAATAATGCTGCTTTTAATTCATGAGTATTGTCATATGGGGCTGCACTTTCTGCATTTGAGCATTAGATGCAACAGATTCACATGAATGTCATATCGTTTCCTGGGGCCACAGTTTTCTTTTGACTTAAACCAGCTTAAATTCAGGCTGGTGCCAAAAGAAATAGCACTATTCCCCTGACCACTTACTCTCGTCGTCTTCCTTTCACCAATACTGGCATTTATAGGCTGTGTGGTGAACCAGCAGGGAACTCATCTGGCTGAAAACTAACCTGACCAGGAAAATACAAAACCCCCACCTTTTCAGATCACCTATAAACTGATTCACCTTGTTCATCATGCCCAAGGGAGAGCGAAGCTATAAACAACAAGAAACAGAAGACAGGATGAGAGTCTGGCTGTCAGCATCCCCCAGACTTCTATCCAACTGAAGTGACAACGTAACTGAAGCCAGTTACATTGCCATAGTTCCTTTTCAGAAAAAACCCAAACCAACCACAAAACAGAAGTAGCTGCCAGTTATTCCAAATTATGCCTGAGGAATCTTAATTTCAAAAACTCAACAAACAGCAAATTCACATGTAGAAGTAACTTCTCTATAAAACCTAATTTTCAGAACATGTTATCAAATGCACTTTTTTTCCCCCCTAAGGACATATGTTTTGGCATAATAATTTTTAAAATACCAGCAAAGTATACAGTATACCTTATCATCTTCTACTGTAACAGAAATTATCACATACTTACCTAGAACAGAAAGGTCAAAATCCTTCCTCGCTTCTCCTGCAGCATTGGTCACTACACAAGTATATTGACCTTCATCTGCTACACTCGTGTGTGTCAAACGGAGTGTTCTGCCCCCTGAGGAGAAAACCAAAAAACATACAATCAGTGAAGTCCTGCTCCAGCCAATATGCTCCCAAATTGTCTGTGCTAACTCTTCGGGTTTTTTATTTTTTAGTTAAATTTAGAGCTGTAAATATTTTTAATGTGGTCTATTTTTTTAATGTGTTTTGTTTTGTTGAACTAACAGTAAAAATGACTGACCTTATTCCTACTCCCACCATTTCTGTGTGTCTGCTCAGCCCCTCAGCTCCTCAGTGCTTTTAGATCTGTACCTAACATTGATCATACTACTCTTTCTAGTCAGTAACTTCCAAGCTACCCTGACGCATCTCTTTGTTTTCCTCCAGAAATTACATTTAAGTGAACTTTGAGGCATTCAGACATTTTCTGAGAATTTCTGGATAAAGCCAGAGACCAACCAGAACTGAAAACTTTGAGACATCTGTAGAGTTCATGCAGAGAAAAATCAAACCTGCTCCACAGGTCACTCAAACTACATGCAGGGGTACAGTGCACACATAATTCATTGACCAGCACAGACACTTTGGATGTGGCAGCAGCACTGTGTTTGCAATATGCAGGATTTGTACACGTACTTCTATGCAGGAAATTTTGACAGAATACAGTGTCTTGGACACATTTGCATAGGTATGCTAGCTTAAAAGGAAGAAGTTTTGCAAATATGTTTGATGAAAGGGCCAAGAATATCCCCGCTTTGCCCTAGCAGAATCATTTCTCTTTGCTTCCTTTTTGGCAGAGGAACAGCAAAACAAACACCAGTGAGCATTTAAGTGTGAAAACAAATGTGGTGGCCATCCTTCAGCCTTTTCCAGTTTCTCATTAGTAGCTCTCACATTAGCAATCATTAGCTCACAGTAAATCACATCTGAACTGTGCATGTCCTGCCTGCGGATATCCACAGGGTCTCATTATTGGGATATATCCTAGAAATTTATGTTCCTGGTCACGTGCTTTGACAGAAGAAACTGATGACCTGCTTGATGGATGTGCCTCTGCTCAAGGAATCCTACCTGTTGTGAGACTGAGGAAGGCTCAGTTCTTGAGACTCATGTCACCCTGATCCTTTCTCCCATCCACATCCTGAACAAAGCCATATAAGAAGCAAAAATGAAGCAGATATCTGCCTGCAGGAGACTGTAACTTTCTATGGTATCACCTACTTGCACACCCAGGGCTCCAGTGCTGAGGAAGGATATGACTTTCTATATGTAGCTAAAACCTAATAAAAGCTTTTTCCCTTCCTACAGCTAGCATACAGCTTAGTGTATGGTCTGCAAGGAAAGCACATGTGTTATGGTGGAATTTTTTCTCTTTTTTTTCTGAAGTATGTAGGAAGCATCACTAAAAGGAAACATCAGCATAGTATCTGAATTAACAGATTCGAAGTTGCCAGCAGTGTGTCCACACATTTAAATCATCTGCAATGCCAAGTATGTTTTCAATCAACAGAACCAAAATCTTGCTTTAGCAAAGTATTTTACCTCTTAATTTAGTCGAAGAGGGGGATTTGTTGTTATTGTTGTTGGTTTTGGTTTTTTACAGCTGTACAAGCACAAATAAAGTTCCAAATGCCACGGTGGTTACGGTTCACTACCACAATGTGTAGTTTTCTAAAGAACTGCACAAAAGCACAAAGTTTGCTGGAAAACAAAGCACTGAGTTCTGGCCTGTTTCCCCACTCCCATTGCAGCTAACATTCAGAGACAATAAACATCTTTTTGTCTCTCACCCTTCCTGACTCTGCAATCTGGGTGGTGATATTAGTGTGGGTGTAGAAATCAACAGACAGAACAGAAACAATCAAGCCCAGAAGAAATTATTTTTGTTGATGGCAACTTCATACACAAAGGAATGCACACCAATTCAGATAGATTTATACCAGATAATAATCAGACACCCACTCCTTTTTCCAGGCACCATACTTAAAATTGGGAAAGCAGAAGACAGGACTACCTGTAATGTTAAAAGCTACACAAATGAAAATAATCCTGGAAAATTCCAGCTTCAGATCCAGTCTTAGTTGACCTTCTAAACACCTTCGATTTTCTTTACCTGTCTGATAGTTTTCTGGTGTTTTATGCTGTAGGATGGCTTGGCTTTGCATGGTGGCTGTGTCAGAGCATTAGAAACGTCATCAAAACTTATTTTCATGAGATTTCTAGCTGTGAGCGGCAAACCCAACATCTCAGTTGTTATCTATACGTCTCAGTCGTAACCAGATACTTAATTACTTCCACACACTCCACAAAGCTGATCCCCAGACACACAAAGTCAATGCAAAACTTATTGCCTGCTAGGTATGTATTTTCCGTTTGTAATCTCAAGGGCTGCTAACTCAATTTCCTATTGTAAACACAAAGCTTTAATATCACTGCAGCTGCCAGTCAAGCACTCTCCCTTCCCTATGGTATTGCAGGAAGATGGTTTACGGGAGCAGGTACTGGGCCCCTCCTATTTTGGATGCCTCTATCAATTACTACTGTCATAAAAAAAAGCATCTGAACTAGTTCTCTGTAGGTTATTCCAGCTTGAAAATTGAGATCCCTAATGAATTGGATCTATTTCTCTACTTGCCTATCATAAGTTTCTCCAGATCCCGTGGACTAGTCTTTTTGCTAATGCAGTGTTCTGTGCTGTCTTTGGCTGATCACCTAATTCCAGTTTTTATTAGATGACATTCTGAAGATCAGATTCAGTTAGCTCTAAGACCAGGAAGTATTTATATGTATTAATTTCTGAGGCTCATGAGCAGGTTTCCCTTTGTTTTTATATACAGACCCAAAGAAATGAAAGATACGTTTTGTTTATTCTCCCACGTATTCATTCTCTGCGAGATTTTTTTGTCTTTAAAGGGTAAAATAACTGTGAAGAGGTAGAGAAAACTAATCAAATGAGAGAGCTAATAGTATATGTATAGGCACTGACAAAGCAAGATGTTACCATCTGACATACTTCTGGAAATAAGCATTGGACTGACATACACTAACAGCCAGAATAATGGCTTATTCCATGTCACAGACCAAGTAGTTACCACACCTTTGGCCCATACACATAAAGTTTGGTAACAACTTTAAAAGTTTACTTTTTTTTTTTTTTAAAATAACTACAGTTTTTGTACCTGAGAGGATTCGCACCGAGTTGTTCAAAGCGACTGGCCATCCATTTTTGAGCCACGTTATTGACGGCAAGGGAATTCCTGAAGCTTCACAAACCAGAGAGATGGGATTCTTCTCCACAATGCTGATGTTTTCAGGCATCTGCAGGTCACCAGCAATACTTGGAGGAACTACAGAACAAAAGTAAAGCCAAGCCATACTTCAGAATAAAAATTCAAACATTGTCATCCAAATAATAATTCACTGAAGCTAATATAAGCTTGGCAAATGAAGAACTTCAAAACTCAGACATTTAATGCTATATATTAATGACAATTTCTTGCTGCGTAACTGCATGGAAATATTAAAATAAAATTCTATCAGTTCTATTACCTTTATTTTATGGCTTAAGATCCTTAGCGAATAACAGTTTATAGTAGTTCTGTCCATTCTACACTCATTATAATATCCAGTATCTAAAGAAACACTAGGGAAAATTCTAAGACTGACAAAATTACATGCTTTTTCTAATGGAAACAACAACTCCCTATTAAAATAACTACCACCAATTTATTTTTAGCTTTTCTTTACCAGGAATAAGAATAGTTCCACTTTGGAAGAAGTTCTGCAGTTCTACAGTTCATACTTTAGAACATAAAGCCTGGGGTCAAGGATTGACCAGCATCCTCCAGCACTTCAAGTAGCTTGAGGAGGTTTAAAGTCTCTTTTTACTACCCAGAAGTTTGAAACTACAGTGCAGCAAACATTCCAAATAAAAAAATACATAAATAAAACTGGTAAATAATTACTCCTCTCACTTTCAATAACGAGAATTCCTGTGTTCACTTTCACAGTAAAACATGACTATTCAGTGTTCAATGACACATTAAAAAATCATATGTAAAAGAATTACAGTGGCTGTAAGATAATGTGATGTTCTGATCAGTTCCATCAAGTCAAACTATGGAGTTGAATTCTAGTTGGAGGTACCATCTTTAAATTCGTCTGATTGTGCAAAATGAGAGAACCTGATAATTAGGTACTTGAGATACTGGCTATGCTCAGGTAACTGTCCTCTGGCAGCAGCCGCTAGCAGGGTGTTCTCAGTTAAACCTTGATTTCTGTCTCCCACAATAGAATATTTCCCACCATGACACTCACCCCAATATTGTATAAAACTATACCATATCTTGGTTTTCTCCTCTCAGGAGATGGAGCAGCTGGGGGTGGATTGATATTAACAGAGACAGAGGTATGATTTTAAAATATTCAGGAGATATAAAATTGGATTTAGATTTTTGTAACACTGCAATTGAAACTGCATCACATGTAAGGCCTGCAATAGATAGAGGTGGTGCATTTAGCCACACAGCTATTTCTTGGATGTCCTTTGGTGAACGTAAAAGTCTAATTAGTTTCCGTTATGCCTGCCCCATTTTGCACACACTCACCATGAACATTTAAATCGTATTTTCTGTCAGCCAGCCCTGCCACATTGGCAGCAACACAGACATAGCGGCCAGTGTCTGACACCTGGGCATTTTTCAGCTGAAGAAAGTGACCATCATGAAGTATTGCTATGTCCCTTCCACTGACCAGCAGACGGCCATCCTTCATCCACGTTATTGTTGGTTCTGGAATGCCCTGTACCTTGCACTGCAAAGAAATTTCATTTCCTTGGGTGACAACAACTTCTGATGGGTGGCTACCACTGTTTAATATAGTTGGTCGAACTATGAAAGAAAAAGAAACACCATTTAAAAGTCAACTGGAAGCTACATTTCAGGATCTCCACCTGTTTCTGAACAGAACAGCAATCAAGTTTGCCATAACAGCATTTTCATAAAGACCAGTTGTTGTGGGTTACTGCTGGCAGATCTGTTAGGGGCACTCCGCAATTCATAGCAAATAACAAATAACCTCCCCTGTCCCCACCCCATAAAGTAAAAATGTTTTTTAAAGTGTAACTTATGGGCAATTTTAAAAATGCAAACAGTAAAAAAATTAAATTAAAAAAAGACTGCCCCAAATGCTTAGAATAGATGCTGTCAATCCCTACAGATTTTTGAATATTTTCTCTTTCATGGGATTGTTTAAAAATACCTCCTTTTATAATAATATATTATATTGTT